ATGAAGCATATTATTTACCTGAAGAAATGGCCACTAATAATTTTCAATGGCTCTTTGAAAGGGTAAATCCTATGAAGGTAGCTACTATTCATGCTTCTGATGCAATGTCTAATTTAGCATCTCAAATTGTTGCTATTTCAAAAATGATTGATCAAATAAGAGTGAACTATTCTCAAACTCCCCCATTATTAGAGATAAATTCACTAGGACAGATCATTGATACTCAATCATCTTATGTCAATCATCTTTAACTAGGACAGATCATTGATACTCAATCATCTTATGAAACTTTAAATGTTATAAATACTCAAAATAACAATTAATCCTGTAACTTTTATAATCCTGTATAGAAAAATTACCCTAATTTTAGTTAGAATAATTATAATAATTTAGTGAATCCCTTTGAAAATTTGAACAACCAAGGAAGTCCTAGTTATTGACCTTATTATCCTCCTGGATTTAATTCTAATACTAACCCACAAGTTAGGGAAAAGAAGTTGACATTGGAAGAAGTAATGTTAAACATGGGAAATCAAATAGAAAATTAAGGGGCTCCTATTAGAAATGATGAAAATCAATTAGGACATATTGCTACCGCACTTAGTAACAAACCCTCTAGAATTCTTCCGACTACTATGGAAGTTAATCCTAAAGATCAAAATAAAGAGAAAATTAAAGCTATTAAATTATGAATTGGAAAAGAAGTTGAAGCAACAATTTAAAGAGAAACTGAAGTTGATGAAGAGAAGGAAGAAATTGAAAGTGACCAAAATACCAAAATGAAAATGAACAAACAACAAACACAAGGTCCTTTATAAAAACCATTACCTCTATTTCCACAAAGACTGAAAAGAAAAAGAACAAAGATAAGCAACTTACAAAATTTTTGGAAATCCTTAAGAAGTTAACGATAAACATTCCTTTTGTTGAAGCTTTGGAACAAATGCCAAGTTATGTGAAATTTATGAAGGATATACTAAACAAGAAAAGGAAGTTTATAGATCATGAGACCATTTCACGAGTGAAGAGTGTAGTGCTATTATTCAGAAAAAGCTTCCTGAAAAATTAATAGATTCTGATAGTTATATTATACCTTGAGCTATCAAAAGCTTCCTGAAAAATTAATAGATCCTGATAGTTATATTATACCTTGAGCTATTGGTGAAAAGTTTTTTGGAAAAGTTTTATGTGATTTAGGAGCGAGAATCAATCTTATGCCTTTATCGATCTTTAAATGTTTAGATTTGGGAGCCCTACTATTGTAACTCTTCAATTAGTTGATCGATCAATAACTTATGTTTATAGAAGGTGTATTAGTGAAAGTGGATAAATTTGTTTTTCCTGTAGATTTTATTGTATTAGATATGGAGGAAGATAAAGAGAGTCCTATTATTTTTATAAGACTATTTTTTGCAATAGGTAGAGCTGTGATAGATGTGCAAAAAGGAGAATTAATAATGAGAGTTAATGATCAAGAAGTAACATTTAATATTGCAAAAGCTATGAAATATCCAGAAATAGAAAAAGATAATAAATATTTTAGGATGGAAGTAACCGATTATCTGAGTAATGAGCAATTCAAGGAAGAGTTTGAAGACAAATTAAGGAAAGGAATTTTTTTTGAAAACAAGAAAGAAATGGAAGAAGGAGATTTGGATTATAATCTTGTTGTAAAACGATAATAAAAATCTTATTCCTTCAAGTTTTAAACCACTTGAACTTGAACTAAAAATAATACCTGCCCATTTATAATATTTATTTTTAGGAGAGTCATCTACATCGCCTGTTATTGTATCTTCAGAATTAATTGAAACTCAAGAACCAAAATTAATAGAGATGTTGAAAAGATATAAAAAGGCTTTTGGATGGACTTATGTAGATATTAAAGCAATTAGTCCTTTTATTTGTATGCACAGAATTCTATTAGATGAGCACTACAAATCTAAAGCTGATCCTCAGAGGAGATTAAACCCAATTATGAAACAAGTTGTTAAAAAAGAAATTTTAAAATGGCTAGATGCTAGAATTATATATCATTTTTCAGACAGTACTTTGGCAAGTCCAATTCACTGAGTTCCAAAGAAAGGAGGAGTCACCGCAATTAATACCAGACAAGTTACTGGTTGGCGAATTTGTATTGACTATAGAAAATTAAACGTGGCCACTAGAAAAGATCACTTTCCTTTACTCTTTCTAGACCAAATGTTGGATATATTGGCTTGGAACAAATATTATTATTTTTTAGATGAATATACTGGTTATCACCAAATTTCAATTACTTCAGAGGATCAATAGAAGACAACATTTACAAGCATATGGAACATTTGTTTTTTGTAGAATGGCTTTTGGATTATGCAATGCACCTACAACATTTCAAAGATGTATGATGTCAATTTTTATCAATTTAATTGAACATGGAATGAAAGTGTCTACAAATAATTTTTCAGTATTTGGACCTTTGTTTGAATTATATTTAAATAATTTATAAAAAGTTCTGGAAGTATGTGAAAAAATCAACCAAATACTAAGTTAGGAAAAATATCAATGTATGGTTGCAGGAGGAATTGTTCTTGGGCATAAAATTTCTAGAAATGACATGAAAGTAGATCCTGCAAAAATCAAGTTACTGAAAAATTACTACCTCCAACTAATGTTAAAGGGGTAAGAAGCTTTTTAGGACACGCTGGTTTCTACAGGCGTTACATAAATTTTTTTTTTAAAATAGCTAAGCAATTATGCCAACTTTTAGAAAAAGGCACAAAATTTTATTTTAATGAGGAATGTATAAAAACAATTGAATTATTGAAAGAAAAATTAATCATTGCACCTATAATAATTTCACCTTATTGGGAGAAATTATTTGAAATAATGTGCGATGTTAGTGATTATGTTATTGGGGCTGTGTTAGGACAAAGGCACAACAAAGTTTTCAAAGTAATATATTATGCTAGTAAAACTCTAAATGATACTCAAATTAACTACACTACTACTAAAAGAGATTTACTCACTATTATTTATGCCTTTGATAAAATTAGACCTTACTGAATTGGAACTAAATGTATAGTGCATATAGATCTTTCTGCTTTAAAATACTTAATGCAAAAGAAAGATGCTAAACCAAGATTAATTAGATGGATACTTATATTGCAAGAGTTTGATTTTACCATAGTTGATAGAAAGGGAAATGATAATTAAATAGCTGATCATTTGTTTACACTATAAAGGAAATATTAACCAATTTTGCAAATGAAATTTTTATAGAAATTCCCTGATGAACAATTATATAGTATTGATGAAATGAATGTACAGTGGTATGCCGATATAGTAAATTATATTGTAAGCGATATCTTACCACCTGATATCAAAAATCCATAATTAAAAAAATTTATATATGATTCAAAATTCTATTTTTGGGATGACACATATTTATATAAAAAATGTAAAGATCTAATTATTAGAAGATGTGTTCCTTATGAGGAAACTCAAAAGATAATTTGAAGATGTTATGATTCTGAATTTGGTGGATATTTTGGAACAAATAGAGCTTCATATAAGATTTTGCAAGCTGAATGTTATTGGCCTACTCTTTTTAGAGATGTCAATGAATATATTAAAACATGTGATCGATGTCAACGAGTAGGAAATATTTCTAGAAGAAATGAAATGTCTCTAAATTACACATTAGAAGTTGAAATTTTTTATGTGTGGGGATTAAATTTTATGGGACCATTTATGCCTTCATTTGGGAACTTATATATATATTACTTGCTATTGATTATATGTGCAAATGGATTGAAGCTATTGTGGTACCCATATATGATGCTTGGAGAGTTTCTAAATTTTTAAATAAAAATATTTTTACAAGATATGAAATGTCGAGAGTAATTATTACTAATGGAGGATCTAATTTTAGGAATAAGAGAATTGAAAAATTAATTAAGAAATATGATTTTATGCATAGATTCTCTACTACTTATCATCCTCAGACTACCGGTCTAGTAGAGATATCAAATCGTGAAATTAAATGAATTTTAGAAAAAGCTATAAATCCTTATAAATTGAATTGGTCTGCTAGATTAGTTATTGTATTATGGGCATACATAACTGCTTATAAGACTCCTATAGGAATGTCCCCATACAGACTTATTTTTGGAAAAAAACATGTCATTTACTAATAGAATTGGGGCATAAAGCATTTTGGGCTAGTAAGAAAATTAATTTTAATTTAAAGGATACTGGTGAGAAAAGATTATTGCAACTCAATAAACTTGAGGAGATTAGAAATAAAGAATATGTTAATGCAAAAATCTATAAAGAGAAAAAAAAATATGTCATGATTGAAAGATTTTTCAAAATAAATTTGGAACTGGATAAGAATTTTTATTATACAATACAAGATTGATAATATTTCAAATAAAATTAAAATCCAGATTGTTATGACTATTTAAAGTGATTAAAGTCTTTCATTATAAAACTATTGTTATTAAAGATCCTAACACTTGAAAGATATATAAAGTTAATGGGCATCAATTAAATTATTATTTTGAAGGGCTCTTACCACAATTTAAAAAATTTTTAATGTTAAGTCAGCCCAACAAAACAAATGGTATGTCGGGTTGACGATGTTAAACAGAAAGCTTTATGGGAGGCAACATATATTGTTTTTTTGGTAGAAGGAGCATGAGTCAGCTCCCTACATGTTAAAATGGGTGAAATTACAAAAAAAGGTTGGTTGGGAAGTCCCCAATCTAGAAAATAAAATACAAAGTTACTCACTCATAAGGGATGAACCAACCACCAAAAAACACCCAAGACAAGAAGGAGAAGATATATACATACACCTATGTATATATATTTTCCAACAACACAGTCTGAAAAAATCAGAAAATACAAATCAGCCCCCAAACAAAGAAAAACATCTGAACACCAAGTAACGAACAAGTAGCACAGCCTAAGTAGAAGAGCAGGACTAATCATGGCCTCAAACAATGTCCCAACAATCATTTTAGCACTCTTAGGTAAGGAATTTGAAGTTTGTCCCCCTGAGTTAGTAAGTGGAGGGCGGGGGAGAGGATTTTGGATAACTCAGGATGTTCAACATTAGCACCCTCCATAGCCAGAAAATTTGCAGGTCTGTTAGCTTCCTTATACACAAATGAGAAGTGAATCTTACTTTCAATGCTGAGCTTTTTAATTTTGTGTAGCCATTGATTAATATGCCAAGAGGAAGACATCTTGAAATTTAGTAGCTCCACCAGCAGGGAGGAGTCCACTTCAGCAACAATCCACTGCCACTTATTCTCCTTAGCAAATTTTAATGCCCAATGTAGGGCCGCAGCTTCAGTGTCTAAAGCATCTTCAGCAAAGTAAGGGGCCTTATAGAACAACAAAGTATGCCCTATGTGATCTCTAAAAATTCCCCCAATACCTGCTCTCTTATTTGTGTAGCTTCCATCAGTATTGATTTTAATGAAAGGGTAAGGAGGTCTCTCCCATCTAACCTTGATGATCTTAATATTATTAGCACCCATGTAAGTTATGGTCTGCAGGATCTTGGGGAACTTCCTCCAATTTATCAGCCTATTTAGGTAAGACCAGCAGTTAGTCATCGCCCTTGTAGCACTCGCCTCCCTCTCCTCATGTTTGGCCATGTTTCTAGCCATCCAAATGAACCAAGCAACAATGAAGGGGATTGGCATGAGATTAATCTCTTTCCAATCTTTAATGCAATCTGTAATGTTATCCCAACCAATGTTTATCAGGTTGATAGTCATTTGGGAAGTCAATCTATTCCAAACCTCCTTAGCAAAATTGCACCTGAAGAATAAATCATTCCTTGAGTCCTGATCAAGCTTGCATAGGTGGCATCTAAAAGGACCTTTGAGGCCTTTTAGTTTTAGAAGATCATCAGTAGGAATTAGGTTATTAAGAACTCTCCAAGAAAACTCCAGCATGGAAGGGGTAAGGTGTTTTTGGCAAGAGGAAACATTCCACTGGCAGGTGTCACAGCTGTACAAATAGTTCTGGATATCTTTTGAGATACTAGCTCTGCTCCTGTTCATCAAGTTAATTTGATCATTGTTTTTTCTATCAAATTGGATAGAAGAAATGTAGCTGACAGATTGCTCCTTTAGTAGACTCCTCAAGAAGTCCTCAGACCATACATTGCCAACCCAACAGTCCTTGACCAGCAAATCCCCCTCCTTTTCATCCTGCAAAGGTTCTGAATAATCAGTAGGACACCGGTTGTCTTTCCAGAAATTAATTTCCCCTTGGAACAACTCCCATCTTAGCAGCTTTTCAATGTCTTCTCTGGCCTTAAGCATCTGAACCCAAATTCTGGAGTCTCCCACCTTCTTAGTGACCTCCCCATGAAGTCGCGATTTACAGTATTTAGCCTACATGAAACTGGCCCATAAGCATTCATCTTGTCTGCATTTAATCCAAAGATTACACAAATTTAATCCAAAGCTTACACAGACATCTGTGTTGCATCTGGTGCAAACCTTTAAATCCCAAACCACCAGCCTCCCATGGTTTAGCCACTTTTTGCTAGCTTGGCCTAGCCACTTTTTTCCTATTCCCAGCCCACAGAAATTGGTTGAATGTTCCTTCCAGCATCAAAGAGGTACTTCTTTTCGTTGTAGCCACTTGGAGAACATACAAAGGGATGGAGGTAAGAATACTCTTAATGAGGGTGATCCTACCACCATTGGATAAATAGGAGTTAGACCACCCCTGAAGAGTAGAGGTTATCTTATCTATAACCTCATCAAATTGAATCAATTTTTTTCTTCCTCTAGTTAGGTGAATCCCCATATATTTGAAAGGAAGGCTCAAGCTAGATAAACCAGTGTAAGATTGCATCCATTGCTTGGCTGGTAGAGAGGCTCTTTTGCTGATCAGAATCTCACATTTGTCCTTGTTTACCTTCAGGCCAGACACCTACTGGAAATGTTGAAGGCACTCCATAATGGACTTGGTAGCAGACTTAGAAGCCCTAGTAAACATCAGGATGTCATCATCATAGATCAGATTGTTGATGTCCATCTTAGCTCTATTGTGATAAGAGTTGAAGCTTTTTTTATTCTCCTTGCAGTCCATCAGTCTAGAGAAGTCTAGAGAAGTAGTCCGTAGTCCAACACCAAGATAAAAATGGTAGGGGAAAATGGGTCCCCTTGCTTAAGACCTCCGGTATCTTTAAAGAAACCATGGGCTTTACCATTTATAAAAACTGAGTTTATGTTGACCGCAAGCCATCTTTTAATAATCATACAACACTCCCTGGAAAACCCCCTAGCCTCCAAGCATTCAATGATGAAATCCCAGTTGACCATGTCATAAGCCTTCTTTAGATCAAGCTTAAAAATGGCATTTCCCGCTCTGCAAGGTTTCTCCAAATCTTGTAGAAGTTCTTGAGCCAGGAAGATGTTATCCCCAATGATTCTGCCTTTCATAAAGGCAGCTTGGTTAGTGCTGATAAGTTGGGGTAAAACAAGCTGAAGCCTGTGAACAATAATTTTCTTATGGTCTTGCTTATAACATTTTTTAGGCTCAGAGTTCTGTAATGATTCCAGCTATCCTTAATAGAGGTCTTAGGAATGAAGATAATATTAAAAGCACTAAAATAGTTAGGAAGTGAGTTTCCTTTGAAAAAATGTTGGATAGCTTTGATCACCTCCTCGTTGATAACTTCCCATGCTTTCTTGTAGAAGTCTACAGTAAACCCATCAGGTCCAACAGATTTAGAACTGCCAATGGAATTCAAAGAAATTTTAATCTCCTCCTCATTAGGAATATCATTCAAATGCAGATTTGCAGTGAACTTCTTGCTGTCAGTAAATAAATTGATGTCAATTTGCACTCTATCACTGATGGTCTGTTGGTCCCTGGTCCCATTCATTAGGTTGTGGCAATACTGCACAGCACTTTCAGCAATTTCCTCTTCCTTCTTGACCCAAACACCATTTTGGTCCTTGATAGAGTGTATAGTGTTGCATTTCCTTTGGTATTTAATGCAAGCATGGTAGAATTTAGTGTTTCTATCTCCTTCAGTAAATTTGGTTTTGACAGCCTTTTGTTCAAGGAAATGTTCCTACCACTGAATAACATTTAAGAGTCTCTCATTTGCCTCAAGAAGAACAACCTCATCAATCCTCCCTTTCCTATGCTCCTCCTCCAGATCAGTTACCTCCTTTTCAGCCTTATCTACAATCAGCAGGAGGTCTCCAATAGTGTTCCAGCTCCACTGCTTAAGGGCTTTGGCCACCTTCTTCTTATTAATCCATAGGTTGATGAAGGGGTCAGGATGAAGGTCCTTCTTCCAATGTTCTTTAATAATATTGAAGAAGTTTAAGTGTTGAGACCACACATTCAGATATCTGAAAGAGCTTTTCTGGTTAGTCACCTTATTCCCTATAGTGACCAGTAAGGCCTGTGGTCTGAGACAGCTAGGCTTAGGTGAGTAATGGATGTCTGCAAGAACTTTTGGATCCAATTGTCATTGGCAAAAACTCTATCCAACCTTTCCCACAAGTCCTTCCTTCTCCAGGTAGAGGTAGGACCACTAAACCCCAGGTCAAATAACCCAATTTTTTGGATAATTTCATTAACAAATGATATATTGGTGGTGTTGGGAGGTCTGCCTCCCTTCCTCTTAGCAGGTGAGGAAATACAATTGAAGCCTCCTCCCACCAGCCAGACCTTATCAATTGAACCTTGGATGAGCTGCAAGGATTCCCACAGATCAATTCTAGCAGCTTTATAGCTGCTAGCATAGACACAGCATATAGCTGCTAGCATAGACAAAAGAAGCAAAAACTTCCATGTCCATAAAGCTGAGATCCATATGTAAGATTTGGGTATGATTAAGTAAGATAGAGCACTTCATTTCTTTCCTAAAAAAAACCAAAATTTTGTTGTTGATATTAGTGAACAGATTGAAGCCAGGGAAGACTTTTGCAATTGTCAAAGTGTTGAGATGAACCATGGGTTCCAAGATGGCTCTGCACCAAAGATTATGCTTTTTATTTAGATATTTGAGTCTTTTTAATGATAAGGGGTGGGCAATCACCCTAATGTTCCAGCACAACAGATTAAATCATGGGGATGGGGGAGAAGAATAAGGTTGGGACCTGGACCTAGTCCTCCCACTTATTTTGTTAGAGCCCATTTTTATCTAATTGATATGAACCTGCAAACTCTGAAGCTCCTTTCCTTTTCCAAGGTCTTGTCATTCTTTTTTGTAGTTCTTTTTCTTCTTAATTTTCTGAATTTGCCAATCTGACTCCAGCTCTTTGTTCATAGCTTCTACCATTTTCTGGCTGGGGGATTCCACCACTAAATCCACCACTTGGTTCTTTATATTTCTGGGAGATGGGGAGGCAAGTATCTCCTCCCCCACTGTCTCAACCTCTGATTCGGTCTCCAATTTCTTATCCTTCGTAGATATTTGACCAGCAACATTGCTACCATTTCTAGTTGTCCCTGCCACACAAAAGGAATCCTTTTGGATGAGAGACTCATCTGTCCCTGCAGCAGTAGAGGTCTTCTTTTTCACTTCTTTGTTTCCAACTTCCTGGAGATTGATGTTGGCATCATCCAACTCCTGCTGAGGTTGTTGGTAAACCCTTCTATTAGGGGGTTTCAACATATAGCATCTCTCGCTATTATGTCCAAACATTTTGCAATGTTGGCAATAATGTGGTCTTTGCTCCATGATTACTTCTTGCCAAAACCCACTCTGAGTGTCCCCAATCCAAATTCTCTTAACATCAAGAAGGGTAACATCCCTTTCCACTAAAATTCTTGTACTGGCTGGTCTGGCCTTATTAAAAGTAGCAGCATCAACCTTCAAAGGTGTACCCAAGGTGCACCCAATATTGAACAATGCATTCAATTTAAATAGGTGCAAAGGCAGTTTAGGTAGCCTAAACCATATAGGCACTGTGGGAGGTTCTTGACCATTTTAAAATTTTCATTTTTGTTCCAGCTATGATGATGGATTGCTTTGCAAATATTCTAGCATAGTCCTCTTCTTTAGTCAGATGGATTAGGAGATGCCTACCATCCAGCAGACCTAGCTTCCACTCTAAAATTTTCAGGGATTCAAAATATTTTCTTACAAGTTCCATCTTTGGATGGCCCAAGCTGAATTTACCAATTAGAGTGAATTGAACCTCCAAGTTTAGATCAAAAATCTCTTTTTCAGAGAAAATGGCAGCTGGTTCCCCATCTTTAGATCCCACTGGGTGAATGCAAGAGGTAGAACCTCTCCCAGTAGTAGTGTTATTATATTCCTGAGGGAATACTAGCAAATCAGGATCAAACAAAAGGGAGGAGGGATTTCCAACCACCCCAGCATAGGTGGCTTTAGTCCATTGCAAATTAGTTTCTATATCAATAGGGGTGGTCATGGTTCACCAGACTAGCCCCCCCAAATCAGAGAAAGGCAAGGCAGGTTCCTATCCCAACCACAACAGAGATAGACCCCAGGCCAAACTCAAACACCAACTAAAAAGAAGTAAGGAGACTAGAAGCTTCAACTAACCAATGACACAGTAAATGCTTCACTAAAGCAGTCCCAACAAGGCCAGATAAGGAGACTAGATAAGGAGACTAGCAGCTTCAGCTAACCAATGAAACAGTAAATGCTTCACTAAAATCAGCAAAAATCCTCAGCATCCCCCAATAAGGCCATAGTGAACAGTGTTGAAGGTTCAAATAACACCAATGTAACCTCTTTAAGATAAAGCAAACTCATAAAACAACCTTCACAGCAACACCAGATATAAATTAAGACAAATATTGGTATTAGAGGAAATTTTAGAATCGAATTAAACGAAAAAATAAAAAGACGCAATTTTGGCTTTGGAGCCGACGACGCTAGCATGGGCTCTGACGGCGCCAGCATGTGCGCTAACAGCGGCAGCATGGGTGCTGACAGTGCTCGCAGACAAACCACAGCGCCGACAGCGCCACCGGGAGCACCGACAATGCTGATAGCAATTTGACAGTTTATGACGAATTTTGGCGGACTTTGGCTGGATTTTGCTCTGTAATAACTGCCAGGAGGTGTTTTTAAAGTCCTAAAAACTTCCTTGGATGACCCAAAACTTTCTATATTCGAATTTATAATATATAAATGTGTTTCTCAACTTCATTGCTTAATCCAATATCGAAGCAGTAGCATTTCTTCATTTCTCCAAAATTACTCCCTATCATGAAGATTAGTAGAGAGAGTCACCTAGAGTCACCAAAGAAAGTGTTATTTTAAACTACTGCATTCAAATGGAAAAACTCATTAGTGTAAAATCTATCATTTTTA